TCAACTGTATAAAATGATATGGTAGACGATTATACTAAAATACAGCATATATTGCAGCTAACCGAACCTAACCTAACCATACTTATTTAGTAGCTAATAGTAAATAATAAAAATCTTTTCCATATAACGAAAACCAATAAAAGACAGCGAATCTCTTTCGATCGATTTCTTCCCTCAAAAACTCCCTACATCCAGATCTGCGAAATCCGCCATTGGTATTTCGGTAAACTAACCTAACCTAACCATATTTATTTAGTATGTGATATTAAGTAATAGAAATCTTTCCTGTATAATCAAAACCAATAAAAGACAGTGAATCTCTTTCGATCGATTTCTTCCTTAAAAAACTCCCTGCATCCAGATCTGCGAAATCCGCCATTGATATTTCGGTAAACGGCACAAAATGACCGTTTCCTCCTTTCTAATTTCGTGCTGTCACCATGAACGACACATCCTAGCCAGAAAGAGCTGGATATAAATAAAGCGGGTGGTATCGATTTTGTATGGGCGTGTGAGGGAATAAAACCGAAGGGTGGAAGAATTGCAATCGATATCATTATCGAGTCAACCACCTAACTGGCTGCTTTTATCTGCTAATAATCGAGCGCAACTTTCACGCGGATTCCGCGAGTTAATACACAGTATTACAGGAAACTGGTAATATCGCTTCATATACTGCAATTACTGGAACTAGTATGTTCTCAAGTCAATGCGGTACATTTATCGCGTGCATGTTTGCAAATACGAGTGTTAAGTTCTTGATTTATAATACATGCAGCAGTCTATAAATGGAACTCGGTGTTTTTAACAACTCTAAAATTATAAATTCCGGACTGACGAGATCGAACAGGACAAATCGCAGACGTAAATGGTTATATCGTTAAAAAACATCCGTCATGTACGCAGTTGGCTTGTTTTGAAGACCAATCTTTCTGACGCCATTACTGAGAACACCGTAAACAGTCCCTCCCAAACGCGAACAAATTTTCACATTGACGACCCTGAAGCAAGGTTTCGACCAACATAAGGGTGCGGACTTAAATAAAATCGAACAAGGAGTCGAAAGGTGGAAGGTCCGAGCTTCGACTCGCTTCTGGTTTCAACGAATCCGACGAATATTAGCGAACGTAGCATTGGATTGTCTATACCCTTCCTATTTTAATAGCCGCTGTGGAAACCGGGAGTCGGGCTCGATAAAGTCTCGCGGCGCTTTTGACAGCCCGATCGAGGAACTTTCCCGCCAAGCTGCCGAAACCGAAGATGGCGGTGTCCGATATGGCGGATCAACTCCCATAACTTCGCCACGGTAACTCGTGTCGTGTGCAGTTGATCACGAGATCGAACCAATTTTTTCTCTTCTCGACGCGATCGCTTGTTAGATATTCGTGAAGTCCGATACTCGACCCGATCGAATAATTGTCCTCGTTATTTTGATTAATGGGTAAATGTTTCTATTACCACGCCCCGGTAATAACGGCAGAGCGAGATTATAGTCTAAATTTAATTTGAGCGAGATACGCAACGCGTTCTTATTGATACGATCTTTCAGAGGGTCAGGAATGTTAACGATCTCTTAGCGCGCTTATTCAACGTTGCTCAGCATTGGAAAATGTGGTCACGACATGACGCAGTGGCGCGCTCGAATTCTTGATAACAATGTATTCAAATTATCTTCGCTATTCATAGATTCTCGCATCCTCGATATTTTGAGCCGGGGTGCGAGTTGGCGAGGATTTTGGGATTTGGGAATTTGGAGGATGGGATTTGGGGATTTGGGAATTTGGGAATTTGGGAATTTGGGGATTT